GGGAAGTCGGTAAGCAAATTTAACTCTGATAAAGGGTTTAAAATATTCCGTCAGGAACGTTGGGGAGAAAGCTCGTTTCACATCTACCCGGCATGCCGTTAACCCGACTTCTAGCCGGCACCGGCACGAGTGCGCCTTTCACATTACGCCGACACCGGCACTCCGGCAGTTGTACTCCAGCTTGTGAAACTTGTGTGTCGTAGGGATGGAAATAGAACGAAATAAGAATAGTTTTTTGGAAATAGAGCAATTGTAATGTTACTTTGAAATAACCTTTATTGCAACTGTATTTATATTTGGATTTTTTTTTAAATTTAATTCTGTTTGAATTTGACTGAAATTCAAATCAATGTTATGTAATAAAATAAAAAAAATAAAAAATAAAAATTGAGTAAAATTCAGTTGAATTCAAATAATTCTGCTCTTGAACTAAATTGATAAGTAGTTCATGGTCTATTTCCGACATGACCAAAACTTTAAGAACAAATACCCAAAATTAATACAAATTAACAACAAACAACTGAACTAAAAGTACTCTTGGTGCACCCGACAGACGGCAGGTGCCGGTTGTATGTGAACAGTCACATTGTGCCGCTATACCCACTACTCCAGCCGGCCTGTTTAACCGACACCGGCAGCCGGCCTTCGCCGAGGGGGCACCCGGCATCCCTCGACTAGTACCCGGCAGCCGGGCAAGTGATTAACCGTCAACGGCACATGCCGTGCATGTGTGAACGGTGCCATATACTTCTTCACCCCATTGCCGGTTAAACGACACCCGGCACCCGGCAGCCGGGTAGATGTGAAACAGGCCATAGAGTACTCAATGAGTCGGAAAGCGAGCCACGGTCCTTGCATTTCCAAAAATCGACATTAGGAGGCATACTGCGTAGTGCGTAGTGCATAGTGTTTAGTGCGTAGTACCACAGAAAACGTTGCGTAGTGCGTACTGCGTCATAGCATAGTGACAAGACAAGTGCGCTGTGTAGAGGGGGCTGAGTAGTGCGCAGTGCGTAGTGCGTACTGCGTACTGCGTAGTGCGTACTGCGTCATAGCGTAGTGACAAGACAAGTTCGCTGCGTAGTAGGGGGCTGAGTAGTGCACAGTGCGTAGTGCGTACTGCGTAGTGCGTAGTGCGTACTGCGTCATATCGTAGTGACAAAAAAAGTGCGCTGCGTAGTGGGGGCTGAGTAGTGCGTAGTGCGTAGTGCGTACTGCGTACTGCGTAGTGCGTACTGCGTCATAGCGTAGTGACAAGACAAGTTCGCTGCGTAGTAGGGGGCTGAGTAGTGCGCAGTGCGTAGTGGGGGCTGCGTAGTGCATAGTGCGTAGTGCGTACCGCGTCATAGCGTAGTGACAAGACAAGTGCGCTGCGTAGTGGGGGCTGCGTAGTGCGCAGTGCGTAGTGCGTACTGCATACTGCGTAGTACGTAGTGCGTACTGCGTCATAGCGTAGTGACAAGACAAGTGCGCTGCGTAGTGGGGGCTGAGTTCTGAGTACTGCGTAGTGCGTACTGCGTAGTGCGTACTGCGTCATAGCGTAGTGACAAGACAAGTGCGCTTGGGGGCGGGGGCGATCACCTCTCGCTAAACTACCTGCAAAGCGCAAACCCAGAATATACCCCCAGAAATCGCACAAAGGAATTATAACAATAATGTTGATAACTGTCAATTAGGTCATGCTATTGTAAATAACTTATTTTACTCAACATACATTATTTAATTGAGAATAAAGAACCGTAGGGAAAACCATATTCAAAATAGTAGGGGATACAGTTATACGGAGAAGCAGCACTAGGGTTCAGTTCCACATGTATTAGGAAAACAAAACATTTCCTTGTCGAATAATGTAGTTCCAGACTAGGATGACGATCACACATTTCCACAGAAATAGAAAATAAATTACTAGACCTACTTATTTTCACATGCTTCAAATCTATAACAAAAAATCATCTTCTGCAGGTGCAAAATTGCATTGTAGACTCCCTGTGGAACTGAAAGATAATTGGCTTGATTTAGCTTGAGAAGAAAGGTTGAAACTGTTTTGCAAAACTTCGTTATATTTAAAGAGCTATAATTATATTAAAATTTGTTAACGAGAAGCTTGTAAAATATAGGCCTAACTCTTTAGTTTTATCATAGTGTAGTTTTATTATCGGTACACTATGACATCATTCAATGTTGTATAGGTACTATGAATAAAGATATCTTAAATTCAGTTTATAACTATAGGTACTATCACAAAAATATCATTAGTCATTGAATATTGGATTCAGTGACTCACACCCTCACACCTCCAATTGTATGCAATACCTCAATGACGTTATCTTGATCCATTGCTTAAGAACCTGTAGGTCGTGTTCTAAGCTTACTACCATGAACAATTTGCTTTTATAGAACAACGCCAATTTACACCAGTACACCACAGACAGTGGACTACACCTTTAACCTCAACCTCCTGCAAAAGAAAATGTGAAAAAATGTTCAACTCTGGAGACAATCACAGCAGTTGGACGACCTGTTGCGAAAGTCAATGTGTGCGACACCCACTGACTATAAGCATTGACTATATAAGCTATAATAAGCTATAATAATAACTGAAACTGACACCTAGCTAGGGTTGTCACTTTTAGGTTAATTACCTTTTTTTGGGTTATTTACTAGTCTTAGGGTAACGTTTAGGGTAATGGTATATTTAGGGTAATTTTAGGGTAAAACTAAAAGTTAGCATAACAATAGAAATTTAACTAGAAACATGAAAAACTTCAAAATTTGGGGAAACACATACATTACATATCATGGCAAACCCGTGATATGCGACTCAACCGGTTTAAATCGATTGCTATGATTTTCATAATCATTGATCTTATCGTTATCAATACTGTATTTGTGAATTATATGTTTTAGATTGAATTGTGTTCGATTCAATAACACGTTATAATAAATAAAATATTCATTACTTCTTTCTTGCTATTTAATTATGTGATTGAGTTGAATTGCACGCTAGGATTATTTTACCGATTGTGTCTAAAAATTACTGTATGTATAAATTAACGCTTTAATAGTTCCGTACTGTATCATGAAGTGATTATTGTAAAAATAGTAGTAATGGGTTAATACAATTAAAAGTACAATAATTAATAATTCTTGGTTCGATATTTTTTATTACATAGAGCTAAATATTAACATTTTGTACTTTTTTCGTGTTGTTTTTGAGAATCGAGTATATTTTTACATATATTGATTGATATTGAAACCTTATTAAGTATAATTAACAACCTTTTTGAAGATTTGTATTATTTTAACGAGGTTATATAGCATTTAACACAATAATTTACATTGAGGCTAATTTTTAGGGTAGCTCAAAGTAGATTTTGGGTCATTTTAAACGCCACAACGAGGTGGTAACGAGAATTGAGACTATTGAGAGTTATAAGCCAATCATCGGTCTAAGGTAAGAGACACGGCTTTTCAAATATTAGAATTTCAGTACCTCCATGGGACAAAAGAAATGCGATTAAAAACTTAATGTATATTTTGTTTCTTGCATAGAATAACCCATTTGAACTCTTTAAAACTATACATTCACTGAACTTGATTTTAGATGTTTTTTCACACAACTGAAATGACTAGTTCAAAACTATACATGGTAAAATAATAAGTAATTGCAAAAAAAGGATAGTAAGTACAAAATTTGTCATTTCACACGACTTATTAATGAAAACATTAAATATGTTTGAATAAAATAATTTCTGTCGCAGACCTATGTTAGGCGTAAAAACGTGATACTTTTTCGGTTAGCTGAGTGGTGGCAATACATTTTAATAAAAAGGTCACAAACAAATTTAATTAATTGCAATTCATGGGTGTCTTCCCCAAAAGAAATATTCACGACGTGCCCCTCAAAAATAGTGCCCACAAAATGGGAACACGCGGCTACAAATAAACTTTTTGTGTTAAAGTTTCCTTTATGTTGAAGCTGACAAGTTAATACATTGTAAACGTACTTAACTACCTTAAAAAACATCTTCGTGTGCCCTAATGAGCTTACCTTTAGTTACATAATCAGTCAGTTGAGATAATAACTCAAATTGTCTCTTTCTTTTCTTTTTTTAGTAGGGATTTATTGCACAAGATGTGAATAGTACATTATACTTAATGAATATCAACCCGACCTACCATCATAACCCATATTGTTGACTGACCTCTGAGAAAATAAGACCGGGCAAATTTATTTCATTGTGCATGTTTTACAATGTACAGTTTTAGTTTAACACTATCAACAACATAAAAACAAAAACATTTGCAATTCGTTCGTAGTTATTTACATCTTTGACCAACTACTACAAAGTCTTAAACTACTACTACAGTCTTCAAGTAAAAACGCGTTTCCTGTTTCCAGCCTACTAACACTGGTTTAAATGGAAAAAAGGTGATTTTTTTTGTATCTATCTTAAATTTATTTGTTTCGGTAAGGTTCAGTTTTTTATTGCCCCATATAGAATTAATAATATATATATGTTACACTCAATCTCCGGATTCGGACAATGTCCGAAATTTCTACCCACTCCGCGATGTGGATAGTGTGAAATATCCACGTCGCGGAGTGAGCATTTTATTCGGACATTGGCCGAAGTGAAATGCCCAGACCGCGTTGTGGGTAAATTGATTTACTAAAATGCCGAAGTTATATCGTTCTTCGGCGATTGAGCAAATCCAAAATACCCACAACGCGACGTGAGAAAGAGGGATTACCCACGTCGGGTTGTGATTATTTCTAGTTTGTGCAAACGCCGAATTTGCGTTTAGACATGTCACCCCCACCATTTGAACTATCTGCGATTAGGATGGACGGACCTGCACCTGCATTGTATTTTCTTTACTGTCGCTGTCCTGTAGTAATACGCACGTTATCAAGTTAATATATGTTCAGTGATTACCTCTTGTGAGATATTGTTTTGGTCTTAAATCAAGACGTAAGGGATAGTCTTGTTGCTTGGATGGCTGACAATAACACCTCTGGCTGGGCAAATGGCCTCAAGATCATACAAAATACTAAGAACAACAGTTACCACAGGGGTATTAAGAGAAACCCGTTCGGCGCAACTCAGAGAAATGGACTAATAGATTCTCCTTTGACATCAGAAGTCGTGAAGATAATAACAACCGAGGAAGAACTTGAATATGAGCTCTCTAAGCTAGAATGTAGTTTGACCGAAGTAGAGAACGAAAGGGGAACTCCTATGGATGACTACACAAGAATTCTGACCAACGATTGTATACAACAACAAACATGGAGAACAAGAATCTACGTCAATCGAAATAATTTCACAATGTGGCAATGATTGCGACAAATGAAGCAACCGCTTTGAATGTGGCCTGAACATCCATAAAGAAGACGTAAATAGAGAGCAGTTAGACTTACCGTTACCTTTGTGCACTCCCTGCTTAAGAAAAGTTGCCATTGATATTAGATGTGAAAAGTGTAAAACGTCTTTAACTATCGAGGCAGAAAAAAATGTTAAAGAAAACAGAAAAAAACGAACTCCAATTCCAGGTGGCGACAAATAAATTTCTTTGCACCGAGGATGTACCCGATGGCCAAGTAAACATACGGAAAGAAGCGATTATCTCATCCGGATCCAAACCACACAGTTTGGAAAGTCGGTGGCTCAGTTGGTAGCTTTACGGACTTCGGGCCCAAGGCAGCGATGTCGTGGGTTCGGATCCTGGTCACTGCCACTAAAATGCATCAGTACAGTTCACCTTCGTACTGAACTGGCTCACCCCTTGCTTTGCTGGATATGTTCCACGCACAGATCTGTGGTCTATGTGGACGGGTAAATCAGAGGTTAAAAGAAGTCGCCAACCTCTAAAAAACAAGGTTTTATAAGATGTTGTTGCAAGAAGAACTGTTTGAGTAAATCATGTAAATTAAGTCAAACGTTAAATGCAATTATAAATGCCATGGCAGCACCTCTTGAGCCAATAAGTAAAAGAAAGTAACTCACCATCGCCAACAATGAACTTCAAACAAAGAAAAATAAAAGAAATATGTAACTTCTTGTTACTGTGTGATAATTGGCGTTTTCTGAGGCTACTAGTATTTTTGTAAAGCGGAAAAACATAATTTCAATGTATGTGTAATGGACCTTTTTTTATTTGTTCCTATTCGGTAATTTTATGATTTCTTGTATTTTATAAAATGCTATTTATACATTAAATAATTATAATCACAAACATAAATTGTATTTATTTTATCTGGTGATTGTAGATTTCATGTAGATTTTTATGTATACGGTAGTTTATAAACTACTAGTCGGCGTTTGCGCAAACTAGAAATACCCACTTCCCGACCTGGGCAATCACTTTTGCTCACATCGCGTTGTGTGTATTTTGAATTTACTCAATCGCCGAAGAAGTTTTTGTCTTCGGCGTTTGAGTAAATCAGTTTACCAACAACGCGGTCTGGGCATTTCGTTTCAGCCAATGTCCGAAATAAAATGCTCACTCCGCGACGTGGGTATTTCACACTATCCACATCGCGGAGTGGGAAGAAATTTCGGACATTGTCCGAATTCGGTGATTGAGTGTAACATATAAATAAATTAAACGACGGTGGGTTAAAGCTGGAAATTCAACTCGGGAGACACCTAGCGGTAATTAGACGAACTGTTGCGAACGTCAAAGCGAAAGCGCACCTAGTGGCGATGGCTAGTACTAGCAAGGAGGGATTGGGATTGGGATAGGATTGGATTTGACTCGAGACTTCTTGATGGGAGTGGAGTGGGACTGGGAGGCAGACTAGCAGACAGCAGACATAACATAACCTCTAACCTCGTTTTTTTAAATCAACCAGTGTCAAGTTAAGTCACGTTCTTTTCTTTTCAAACATAGTTTCTATAAAATAATAATTTTTGGTAACTCCTTACTTCCGTGATAAAATATCTTTCTACTGTTCCCATCTTTATTGAAAAATGAACCCGGTATTTGGAATACACGTGGGGAATTCTGGAGCATGCTTGGCTATGTGCAAGGTAAGTTGTTTCTTACCTTGATAGCCTAGCCTACCTAACACCTCCCGTGACATTGATGACCAAAATATCTAAATAGACTAGGCCTAGTTCAAAAATAAAGATACACTATTTACTACAAGTTTTTTGGGCAAGATAGTGTTGAGCCTATTGTGGACCCAAGGCATCAAAGTAGGCTAGGCCTAACTTCATTGAATGAATACAGTGGCCAATCGAGAAGCCAGGCTTAAAGAGATTTTTGGAAAACAGAGGGTTTAAGGTCGATTCACACACATCAGTTACGGCACGTCACAGTAAAGTCACTTCAGGCACGTCACAGTTAACAAAAATATTCTTTGATGGATTTTCTATTGCGCTATCTACACTCATCCGTAGCAGTCCCGTCAGTCTCTCTGCCGGCATCCGTCAGTCAATTTCAGATTTCTTTTCACCGATATTTTTTGATTGTTTGGACGCCTGACGGAACTGTTTGAGGTTAGAAAATAGTGTTATTGTTATTTAAATGGTTGCGTTTGTATTTTGAGTACTGTTTGTAACAATCAACAAGATAGACAATGATAATTTAATAGAACATAGGTTTAAAATGTAAATTTTTTGACTGTAAATTACTGTAAATATTAGAGACGGAAGACTGACTGAAACCAACTGACGGACAATTGACTGAGAAATTGCGGATGCAACTGTGACTGGACT